AGAGCCCCAAGAGCAGCAGCAGTGACAGCAGCCGCATGGCACGGATGGGCAGCGTGGGGGCTGCCTCTCTGGGCACAGGCAGGGTTTTAAATCCTCCTGGGGCAGAAGGTTGGTCCCCATGACCTGGCCAGTGCCCCAGCACCTGACGTGTTCCATCCGAGCGTGAACACCCCCTCGTCCCCTCCCTCCTGCAGGCAGCTGCTGCTGGACGAGCCTCAGGGGAGGCACGAAGGTGCTGACAGGAGCAGCCAATGAAACTTCCTGCTGCGGGGAACAGGTAGGGCGCAGGTGGCAGCGAGGGGCTGGGGGACCCTGCCTGGAGCTGGCCTGGCCGAGGCAGCAGAGGTGGCTCCCTGGCCGGGTGCTGTGGAGCAGCCCGTGGTGCCCTGGCAGCTCTCAGGGCATTGTTCTGCCTCTGGGAACAATCGCTGGTTCCTGAGGGACGTCCTGTGACCTGACACGGTCCACAGCCCCGCACTGCCACCAGCCCCTCAGCCCTACATCTCCTGGCCAGCCTGGAGACCAGGACAGGCCAGGGGGGCATGGGGTCCTGGTGCTGGGAACAGCGAGGTGGGGGCTCTGCACAGGCACCAGGACTGCAGGGCTGGAGCACGGTGTCCTGTGTCCTTGCCCGAGGCAGAGTGGGTGCCCAGATTCCCGTCAGGCAGTGCTGGAGCTGCCTCTTGCCTCCTGCTCCCTTCCACGGGGCTGATGGGATCAGCCACCCCGGCCACTGCGAAGTGTCGAAGTGTCGCAAGGACGGCGGCATCGGAGCTGCCGGGGCTTTCCCTGACGGTCCCTTCCGGGAGTGCCTGTCCCTGGGAGAGGCAGGAGGGCTCCACACCCCCTCCCGGGCAGCTGCCTGCACGTGTGTGTGCATGTGTGTGCACACGTGGAAGCCAGCTGTGCACACGTGTGTGTGGAGTCCACGCTCCATGTGTTCCCGCTCTGTCCCTCGGCTCCCCTGGTTCCAATCCTGCCGTGCATCCCGGCCTGGGCAGGAACATCATCCCACTGGCACAGCACCGCCCCTGTCCCCGTCCCACCTGAGCATCCGCCCTGGGAGATGCCACATTCCTGGGTGCTCCCCGAGCGCCCTGGTCATTGTTTTCCTCCTGGAGAAGATCTGGCTGTCGGCTCTGCCCCCCCAGCTGTGCCAGCTGCTCACCCTGCAGATCCCTGGTGTCAGGGCAGGGGGTACCTCTGAAGGGGTTTCTATCACGTGCAACCCCAACATCTACCTGGGAACAGCCCTCCCCTTGAACCCGCCGTGCCCCAAACCCCAGCAACCGCCGGGAGCGGCTCCGCATCCACGGGGGTGTCACCCCAGCCTGGCCACGGCGTTACTGCCGGTGCGAGGACAGCCGGAGCTGCTCTGGAAGATGCCGTCAGTCGTTCCAGGGATCACCCGGCTGTGATTCCCTGCGGAGATAGCGGGAAAAATGCAGCCCCGGTGGATTCTGGCGCTGTGGCCCTGCCCTCCTGTGGGTGCGGGGCTGGGAGTCTCTGTGCCACCGGGAATGTCCCGGATGGCTCAAGGCAGTACCGAGCGTCCCTTTCCCACTGCCCACCCTGACCCTGCGCTCCCGATCGCCTCCGGCATGTCCCTCGGGCTTTGCTCCCGCCCTGCTCAGGACTGGCCACGTCACCGTGTGTCATGACGGGGTTTCTGCCAGGATCTCGTTTTGGGGCTTTAGAGGAGAGGCAGGAAAAGCTGCAGTGGGGAGAAGGCGGCGGGCGGTACCACCCCCCAAACCCCACCCCGAGTCCGACTTTCCTGGCCCCTCCCCACGGAGCTTTCCTCGTCCTCCGCTTCCCCCTTGGGACAGTAATTACGGTAGTAATTAGGAAGACAATTATTCCTGCTGAATGGAAACAGCTTAATCTGTTTCTCCCTCCTTTTGGCAGGTTTCACCCCACGCCCGCCCACGGGTGCCGGTGGGTGCCGCCCAGCCCGGGGCCCGGAGCTCTGCGCTGCTGTGGATCCGGATCCCTGGCTGGAAGCCTGGAGGGCTGTGAGCCGTGTCCCATTCCCAGGGAATGCTCCCCGCACCAGCACGATGAAGCTGCTAGACCCTGACCTGCTGCCAGGAGCAGGGGGCTGCCGGGGGGGCACAGGGCACAGCTCAGGGCAGGCAGTCCCCGGGAGTGGGGTGGGTGAAGGAAACATCACTGTCCTGTGGGACCTTCAACAGCCACGATGGCAGGCAGCAAGGTGGTACCCACAGGCTCAGCCCCATGTGCAGGTCCATCCCATCTGGGATGCTCTTTTTCACCCATGAGGGAGCACAGGAGAAAGGGGTGAAGGGGCACAGCACTCTGCTCTGGCACAGCCTCTCCCTAGGCCCTGCACCGCAGGGAGTGCAGGGCAGTGGTGCTGCAGTGTGCTGTGCCCTAGCCCTTCCCTGGCTGATGGCTGTGCCAGAGCCAGCAGCTTTCCATGCCCTGGCATGGCACTGCCATCCTCACTGGTAGCAGAGAGGCCAGTACTGACCTCCCTGTGCCTGTCCCCAAGATAGGCTCGTCTCCAGGAGACTGGGGCTGCTGCCAGTGGTGCCTCCAGCCCAGCCTGGGCACGCCACTGCCACCCAGCTGGGCTCCCCAAGAGCCACTCCAGGACAGCTGTCCCGTCCTACCGGTCCCCCTGGCTCCAGGGATGTGGCCAGGATGCCACTGGGGAGGCTGGGCCCTGCCTAGGTGTGGCTCATTACCTGCATGGCAGGAATTACCTGGGCTCAGGCGACAGCCCTGCGCCCTCTGCCCCACCCGCGCACCTTAAATCCCAGCCCACCACACCCAGGGCCAGACCCGGCCATCCAGGGCACCATGGAGCTGCTGCCCGGCTGCCTTCTCCTCCTCCTCCTCACTGCCCTGCTCCCCCTCACCACGCAGTCCGGCCCGGCCCCACACGGACATGGACGAGAAGAGCTGGGGATGGGTGAGTGTGGCCAGGGCATGGCCTGGGGACAGGGACACCCAAGTGCTGCTGTTGGCCAGTGCTCCCCTGTGCTGCCAGGTGCCTGCAGGGGTCTGGGGCTGTGGGTGCCCGGGGTTTGGCCCTGGGGCACTGGGGGACTGCTGAGGCCCCCGTTCAGTGGCTCTCCCCAGCGTTCTGGCCACTGTGTCCCACAGCAAAGCCTGGGTACTGCTACTACATCTCGGAGGTGGTGGAGGACCCGCTGGATGAGGCCTGTGGCGCCTGCCGCAGGGACGCCTCCTGTGCCCGCTGCACCAGCGATGCCGACTGCCACGGTGTCACCAAGTGCTGTCCCAGCAAGTGTGGCTACACCTGCCAGGAGCCGGTGCTAGGTGAGGGGTCGGTGCCATGGTAGTGGGGCTCTGGAGCAGCAGGGGTGGGTGACTGGAGGGGTGTTAGTTCACACCGGGAAGCAAGCTGGGAAGGGAGGTCCCTGGGGTGCTCCTGGGGTCGTGCCAGGTCCTTGCAGACCACGAGAGGCAGCACACTGTGAGGTGGAGGAGCACCCCAGCTGCTGGTACATGGGGCCATGGGCTGCTGTCAGAAAGGGTTTGGCAGTAAGAAGGGACTGGAACTGTGCAGACCTTTCCAGGGGCCTGGCAGCACTGAGAGTGGTGGCATCCCTGCCCTGCCCCTGACTCAGCCTGTCCCCTTTGGACCATGCAGACTTCTGCTACCTGCCCTCGGTCTGTGGGAACTGCAAGGCGCTTTTCCGCCGCTTCTTCTTCAACGCCTCCAGCCAGCAGTGTGAGGAGTTCATCTACGGCGGCTGCGGCGGCAACAGGAACAACTTTGAGACCAAGGGCGAGTGCTCCCAGGCCTGTTCCCACGTCGGTAACTAGCAACGTGCTGTGGGCTGTGTGCCACAGATGGAGGCTGCTCCTGGCCCCGCTCCTGACACCCCATGTCTCAGTTCCAGGTGACTGATAGTGCTGGCCAGGGGGTGTAGTGGCCTCTGCACAGCCCCACCCCAGGGGAAGCTGCTGCTGGTGGTCACCAGCACCCAACCTTGGAGGGAACCGTCCCTGGTTCTGGTGGTGCTGGTGGCAACGAGTGCTGTTGGCTGGGGTGGCCATGCTGGGGGGCTGTGGCTTGACTGGGGATGCTCACTGGCCCGATGACAGGGACATGTGCCCCACGATGACAGCATGGCTGCCCCTTCCTGTGCCATGGTGCCTGACCAGAGGAGCCCATCCCTCTCCTCAGGCTGACACTTCAATACAAGGGTGGGTCCTTGGATGAGCATGTCTGGGTCTTGTCCTTCCTACTGGAGCAGGCAGTGCCCATCCCTCTTGTCTCCCCTCCCTCATGGGGACTGGGTGATGGGTGCCTCCAGCAGCATGGCATGACGGCCCTGGGGCTCACCCAGCCACCACCCTGCAGCTACCCCTGCCTCAGATGGGCTCCCAGCCCAGCCTTGCCCTTGAGCTGCTGATGTGACCTGGCTGGGAGCTGAAGCCATTGAATGGAGGAGGAATGGCCACCAACTCAATGGGTGCCCGTCCCCAGCCTGCCCTGACCCAGGTCTTTGTCTGCACCACTTCACTGGCCCCTTGGCACCAACCCCAGCAGGGGCTAAGCCCCCTGGCCCCGGGGATGCTCCTTCCCTGGGAGCCACAGTTGATTCCAGGCTGCTCCAGGAGTATGTGGGGCAGCTGGAGGTGGCCAAGTACACACTTTATTGCTGGAGGTGGTGTGGAGGGGACAGGCCAGCTGGAGCCTGTGACTGCCCCATGTCCACTAACGAAGGCGTCTTCCTGCTGCAGAGGAGCTGCTCTCCTATCACACAGCATCTGAAAAGGAGGACGTGCTTTTAAGGGAGCCACAAGGCTGGAGAAGTGAGGGACCAGTGGCCATGTTTGCAGCCATGCTGGCCAGCTCTGTGAGAGCTTCATCCTGCTCCATGTCAGTTAAGACCCCCTCGCCCTGAAAAGTGCATCTGCTGGAAGCAGAGCAATGGGGCAGCAGCGGGAACCGGCCTCACGATGATGCCGAGCTGGGAGTGTGCTGAGGGCTGTGCCCTTCACACAGGTCTAGTTGACACCCTGCGTGACCTGGTGCCAGCCCTGGTGCTGGCCCCATCCTTACCCCTGGACACCCGTGTGCAGACGTGGCCACAGCCGTTGCTGCAGCACTTGTGGCCCCAGGGACACTCCTCATCGAGGTTGCACAGGTCCAGGCATGACCCACGGCCCCTGGGCATGGGGCACGCTCCATCTCTGCCTGCAAGGCAGAGCACCCTGCCATGGGGCACCTGGCTGGGATGCCCCACGTGTCCCAGGGCAACACCTGACTTCTCTGTCTCACCTCCAGGGGTGTCCTTGCAGACACGGCCACAGCTCGTGCGGGTGCACTTCTGGCCCCAGGGACACTGTGAGTCAGCCTCGCACTGCTCCGTGCACCGCTCGGCACCGTGTCGTGGCACAGCCGCCGTGTCACGCTCTGTGGGCAGGGCAGGACGGTCACCTGGTGACTCTGAGCTGAGGCTGTGTGTGCTCATCACTTGCACAGAAGGAAGGGGAGGCATGGGAAGAAGGACAGGGGCAGATCGTATCCCTGGAAGTTGTGGGACCCCGTGGGCACAGCCATCTCAGCAGACCCCCCACGAGTTCACAGCACGGGATCCTCACTGGGATCGGAGGGCCAGGATACCCCAAGGAGTGGGTGCTGAGAGGATGCTGAGCTCCATCCCCACGGGGCAGAGGGTACAAGAGGCTGACCTTGCAGAGAGGCTGGCATGCAGACGTGGCCACAGCCGTTACTGCAGCACTTGTGGCCCCAGGGACACTCCTCGTCGAAGTTGCACAGGTCCAGGCACGTCCCCCCTTCCCTGGGGATGGGGCACACTCCCACTCTACCTGCAAGGCAAGTACCCAGCTGGGGGGCACCTGGTTGGGGCACCTCACGGTGGGGCACCCCAGAGTGGCCCTGCATGGCTCCCAAAGGGCCTGGCTGGCTCTCACCTCCAGGGATGTCCATGCAGACGTGGCCGCAGCCGATGCTGGTGCACCGCTGTCCCCGGGGACATTGTGAGTCGACCTCGCACTCCTCCACACACTTGCTGTCAGTGCTGTCCCAGCTTTCTGCAGGGGCACATGGAGATCCATTGTCACCTGGCTGCCCTCGGGGGGCTGGAGCCAATTCCCCCCAAACAGGCTGTGCCTGCTACCTCTGGGCACGGCCACGCACTCCCAGCCACAGCCCGTGTCGCAGCACTTCTCCTCTCGCCGGCAGACACTGTCATCCAGGCACTGGCTCCCACGCCGACGCCGGGGGTCCCAGCATGGCTCTGGCCGGGGACACTCCCCAGGGTGCTCTGTTGGAGGAGGGGACCTGGGTGAGGGCAGGAGTCCCAGCCCTGCTCTCACTTTACTGTCCCGTGCTGGTGGCTGGGCTGCTGTGCTCACCTCGGGCAGGGCGGGTGCAGCACATGGCACAGCCAGAGAAGCAGCACTTCTCCTGCCGGGGACAGTCCCTGTCGTGGGCACAGGAGTCCTGCTCCGAGCACGGCTCAGAAATCTGCTGTGGCCTCACCTTTGGGCACTCACCAGGTTTGTCTGAGATGGGAAGGAAGGGGCAGCAGGGGCAGAGACCACACCATGCTGTGGGCACCCCCTTTTTTTGCAGCCTCAGGACACTGTGAAGGCTGCACCCTGGGGGTCTGAGTGGCTGCCCTATGGCAGCACCATCCCACATCCTTCCCCCAGGAGCTTTGACATGCCTGGTGTGTGGCAACCCTGTCCTAGTAACCTTTTCCTCACCTGGTTCTGGGGCCAAGCACACAGGGCCACATCTGCTGCTGCTGCAGCACTTCTCAGCCCCCGGGCACTGCCAGTCCTGGATGCAAGTGGTGCCACATGGGGATGTGGCCAGCGGAGCCTCCTCAGCCAGCGGGCAGATGCCTGGTTTTTCTAGGGGCAGGAGGCAGCAGGGCTGGGTGTGCAAACAGCAGCAGTGGGTCTTTCCCACCCAGTCCCCCAGTCCCTGGAGCTGGGGGACACCTCTGCCTGTATCTGGCACCTTGGGACGGGGGCAGGCAGACATAGTCACAGCCACTCAGGCAGCACTTCTCCTTGCCAGGGCACTCGTCATCATGCCAGCACCAGGCTCTGCAGTCATAACTGGGGAACAGCCCAGCATAGGTTGGGCAGAATCCGTCCTTCCCTGTGGACATAGCATGGGATGGCTGCAGTGCCACTCTTTAAAGGCACAGCCACGGGGACCAGGGTGCGTGGGGTTGTTGAACCTCTGGGGCAGCTCCTGGCCCCCTCACCTTGGCCACGTGCTGGGCACCGCTGGCTGCACATCTGGTGACAGCACACGTGGGATGGGGGACAGTCCTGGTCCTGGAGGCACCCCCACTGGTGTGGCAGTGGCCGTTGAGTGGCTGGGGCAGGGCTGGTGTCCTCTGCATCGTGGACCAGGCGAGAGCGGGATGGTGGCCTCACTGTCCCCTCTCCCCTCCAGCGCCCACCTGGGAGCTGCACAGTGAGTCCCCACCCCAGACCTGGCAGAACCCACCCCGGCGAGCATGAGGCGAGGAACCCCTGTTGTTCCACAGCTCTGTGGCCCCACGGCATCATCCCTGATCTCTGAGCCATGTCCCCGCCCGCACTGCCCGTCCTGTCCCATCCTGCCTCACCAGCTGACGCTCCTGGCAGGCACTGGTGGCCACAGCTGCTGTTGCAGCATTTCTGCACATCGGGGCAGTCGCCATCGCCTCGGCACCGCTCCTGGAACGGTGTTGGCTGCACCACGGGGCCCTCCGTGGGCTTGGGCTGGTCTGGCAAGGCAGAGTGGGTGCAAGGATTCAGCCACCCTGCCCACCCCGGGGGTCCCCAGCCCTCGCTGTGGTCCACACACGCCTGGTGCCTGAGGCTACGTCCTGGCATTGGGTTTTCCCGGGAGCTGCTGGTGAGGGGAAGCTGTGTATGCTGCCCCAGAGGTCAGGGAAGCAGGGAGGTGGTAGATGTCTATGGCACAGAGTCCCCGTGCTGAGCCAGGGCTCCCAGCTCTCCCTGCCAAGTCCGTACCTGGTGCCGGCTCCAGGCAGGCAGAGCCACAGCCCAGCGGGCAGCATTTCTGCATTCCCAGGCAGTCCTTGTCCTCCAGGCAGGGGAAGGAGCAGGGGGCAATGAGCCCCTCGGGGGCTGCTGCCCTGCAGGCACCGGGCTTCTCTGCAGCGCCGAGGGGCCGAAAGGTGAGGCTGCACTGCAGTGTCCTAGGGCAGCACCGGGAAACCTGCCCCTGCCAGATCCTCGTGCCAGACCCTGCTTGTCCCTGGCTGGACCCCACCATGTACCCCATCCCAGACCCCTCCATGCCTTAGGAGCTGTGGTCAGGGGGCTGCCAGCAGTGCACAGAGAGCTGCTCTGTAGCAATGGGAATGGCACAGGGATGGGGACAGGGATGGGGGAGAAGGATGCCAGCTGTCCTGGGACAGAGGTGGTGCCGTACCTTCTGCCGGGGGGATGCAGCGGAGCCGGCACTCCCAGGGGCAGCACTTGAGCCCAGCGGGGCAGCTGCTGTCGTTGGCACAGAGCGGGGGCTCCTGGCGCAGGCAGCGCATGAAGTCCCGTGGGCACCTTCCTGGTTTTGGGGGGTCCCCTGAAGAGGGATGGCAACATCAGGGCAGTGCCAGCACCAGAGCCCCTCATCTCCCATCCTCGAGGAGTGAGGCATGGGCCCCCATGCAGGGGCCAGGGAACTGGAGTGGGGATCACAGCCTGGGGGGCTGGAGACTCTGCTGCAGCATGGCCCAGGGCTGCTGGACCCCGACACTGAGACCTGCATGGCACAGCATGGCACGGCACAGCACGGGGCTGTGTGTGCCCTTGCAAGGCAGCATGTGCCACGAGGATTGTCACTGGCCTGAAAGGGCACACCAGCTGGAGATCAAGATCCATCCCCGAGCATCCTGCTGCCCCGGGCACCTTCACTGCAAGGAGCACACCCCATGCCACTGCTGCCTCCTCCTCTTCCTTGTCCTCCTCTTCCTCGTCCTCCTCTTGGCACCCTGTGCTCATCTTGGCCATGCTGGGAAAATCAGGACAGCCCTGCCTCTGCTACAGGTGAGCTCCAGCTGGTGCCTGTGCCCTGCTCCTGCCACCAGCCAGGGATGCGGTGGGAGCAGCCGCTCTGTCAACATCCTGGCCGGGTGCGGCGGGGCCGCGTGTTTGGGCTGCAAACAGACGCTGCCGGAGTTTCACTGCAAACAGCAGCTGTTTGGCTCAAACAAAGAGGCACTGGCCGTTTTCTCGGGGTGGGTAGAGCCACGCTGCAGTTGGGCACCACCGCCCCTGGCATCATCCTGCTGCAGGGGGCCAGCATGGGGGGGGGGATGTCTGCACCCAGAATGTAGAAGACACCCTGACACGTGCAGCACCCCTGAGAGCTGATGGTTGCTGCGTGTGTAGGGTGCAGGGGGTGCACATGGGGGTGCACACATGCCCCCAGGGTCCCCCAGGCAGCCGGGCAGCAGAGCAGGTGCTGCAGCCAGCTGGGACATGGTCCCTGCCAGCATGTACTGGGCAGGGACAGAGGAGACACGACAGTGACAAGGGAAACCGGGGTGCAAGGAGCTGCCCCCAGGCTGCCCGTGCCTGGCAGCTGCCAGGTTTGCTACCTGGTACTCACCGCCCTTCTCCTCTGATGTCATGCTTGGCTCTGCCCTGAGGATGAGGAGCCCCAGGAGGAGGAAAACTCCCAGGCTCATGGTGCTGCCAGGGACGTTGTGAGTGTCTGGAGCTGAGCCGGGGCTTGGTTTACAGTCAGTGGAGGGGGTACCCGAGGTGCCAGGGCAGTCAGAACTGGGCTGCTGGCTGTGGCATCTGGCTGTGCCGTGGGCAGGAGGGGCAGGAGGAGCAGGAGGAGGGGCAGTTCCCAGAACCCACTGGTGCCCTGCCAGCCATCCTGCTTATCTCTGGCTGAGCCCTGCTTTGGAGTCAGGGCGACCCACGGGGCTGGGGAGGGCAGCTGGGGTCAGGCACTGTCCCCCATGGTGCACAGCCCTGCTGCAGCTGGCTGCCACCCCCTGCCTGGGTTTCCCTCCAGCCCTGCTTGCCCCTTGCCTCCCTGGAGTGGGGGCTGTGGATAGACCGCATGGGTTGGCCGTGGCACAGCAGCCTGAGGAGTTCTGCCAGCTCTGCTGCCATGGTAATGTCCCCCAGCCAGGTGTAGCCTCTGTTCTGGGACTGCTTGGGATCCAGCACCATGAGTAAGCAGGTCTTGCCATGTCCCCTTGGAGGTCGGTGCTGCTCCCTGCCCCCTTCTCTGTCTGGGGACTCCATCTGTCCTGACCCGTGACTGCTTTTCCCACCAGGTTTTCACACTTTGGGATGCAAATGAACCCTTCCTTGGTGCAAGGAATCCAAGGGAACTGGTTCTCCAGTCCCTGACTGCTGAGGGAACATGGAGCAGCCCCCGGGCCCTGCAGGATGGTCACCATGGGGTGATGATGGCTGGAGGTCACTCGTGTGGAACTGGGACCCTCTCCCTGCCCCGGGGCAGTGTCTGCCTGCAGGGACGGCTGCCTGGCGCCTGCCTGCACACAGCCCAGGCTGCCAGCGCCTCTGGGAACCAGAGAGGGAAACAGGGATGATCACCCAGAGCAGAGGTGGCCATGGGATGTTTATTCTGTCTCGGTGCTGTGGAGCAGCTGAGGCCAAAGGAGATTGCCTTGTGCCGGGCTGCCAGGAGCCTTGGCCGTGGGGTGGTGTGGGTGCTGTGCAGCCCTTGATGGCACAGCTGGGAGCAGCTGGGGGTGCCAGTTACCCCAACCAGAGCCATCACTCAATGCTGGTGCCATCTTGCCAGCGGTGCAGAGGGTCCAGCACAGGGACAGGCGCAGGGGCAGCAGCACCTCTGCTCACACCAGTGGTGCAATGGCAGTGGGGTGTGGGGTGACCCCAAAAAGGTAGCTCCTGTGCAGCTCTTCCTGGCCAGGGCTAGGCTGTGCCTGGAGAAGACAGATAAGGGGGTCAGTGAAGATGGGTGCTCCCTCTCTGAGGGATGGGGGGTCCTGAGGTGCTCCCACCCTGGGCCCCCCTTAGTCCCCTCCAGGCTGGACTGGGGGGCAGCAGGCTGGGGTTGAACGTACCCCACAGCGGGGGGACACAGACCCGGCTGCAGCCCTGCTGGCAGCACTTCTGGCTGGTGGGACAATCCTTGTCCTGCAGGCACAGGAGGAGGCACTTGTCTGCATGGTTACCATCTGCTGCAGGGGGACAGAGCCCTGGCCACACTGGCACATGTGAGAGAGGGAACGTTGAGGGGTTCAGGGCACCCCTCCAGCGTGAGGGAGCTGCCCTGCCTGCAGGGGTGAGCTCCTCACCCAGTTCCTCCCTGATCAGACACCAGCTCAGTCCCCACCCTCCCACTGCCCCCCAGGGAGGAGGGAGGGGGTAACAGGGTGTGGAGGCAGCACAGGGGTCTTGGCTGATGGTTTACCCTTGGTGGGTGGTTTGCAGACGTGTCCACAGCCGGTGGTGCAGCACTTGTCGTCCCCAAGGCAGTCACTGTCGGTGTCACACAGCTCCAGGCAGGGACCCAGGGAGCCCCTCAGCACCATGGGGCACGCGCCGGGCTTTGCCGAGACATGGTGGCTCCCTGGTGACAGTGGGGATTGTGGATGTGCTGGGATTCTGTGTCCCCCACCCCTGCTCCTGGCACAGACTTGGTCTCCATTCTGTTTTCCTCTTCATCCTCCTTTGCAGAGCCCTGTGCTGCTCTCAGTTGCCAGCCTCACACCCACACCAGTCTGACCCAGTGAGACCAGTCACAGCCCAACATGGGATGCCAGCTGATAAGTGGAGTGGTGAGGGACAACCCTGGCTGTGGTCCCACCAGCAGGCGGTCTGAGGAGGGTGCAGGAGGTGGGTGCAGGAGGGGGTTCAGCCCTGTGCATGTTTGGGACCATCACCCACCCACGATAGAGGAGCTGCGTGCAGGGATCCTGGGGCCAGGGTGGGTGTGTGGCACCGGGAGCCACAGCCGGTGGCACACGCTCCTGGGGCCTGGAGGGCTGCCACCAGCTGCACACTCGGCTGGGCACAGCCGCTGTGGCTTGTCCGGCAGCACGGCCTGGCACACGCCGGGCTCCGCAGGGGAGGGAGAGCTGTGCTACCCCCAGTGCGGTGGTGGGCTGGACACGGGGATCAGGGAGGGCTGGCAGAGCTGTACCTGTGTCTGGAGGGGCACAGGCCAGCCCACAGCCAGAGAAGCAGCACTTGTGGTCCCCAAGGCAGTCCCGGTCATCGGTGCAGCGGTTGGGGCAGGCGGCAGCGCTCCTCTGGGCACGCTTCCGTGGGCAGAACCCGGGTTTGGCTGGAGGGAGGGTTGAGGCTCAGCATGCAGCCAATCTGGCCCCACAGTGCCCACAGCTCCCCTACAGTGTCCCGGGGCATCCTCAGCCTGCCATGGGGACCCCCAGGCCACCTCACCTGGCTTGGCGTGCACGCAGCGGGTGCAGCAGCCGCGGGTGCAGCACTTCTCCCCGGAGTGGCAAGTGGTGTCGTTGTGGCAGCTCGCCCCGCAGCTCGGCCCGATGGCGCTGCCAGCGCGGGGGCAGTAGCCTGGGCTCTCTGCAGAGGGAGATGCTCCATGTGGCCATGTGCCAGGGACTGGGGCTCATGCCAGGGGCACTGACACAGGAACCAGCCCCCACCCACATCCCACCCATCACCCAGCCCCTGTGCTGGCATCCCTCAGAGGGAGCAGGGGTACCTGTGGTGGGCAGGAGGCAGGTCCAGACCTGCCCACTCTGGCAGCACTTCTCGGCACCAGGACAGCTGTGGTCGGAGAGGCAGTACAGCCCGGGGGGCCAAGGGGCTCCACTCGCCCCTGCTGGGCATTCACCAGCTTTGGGGGGGGCAGGTGGGGCAGTGGGGGTCCAGCGTCCCTGTGGGGCTGCGCTGAAGGTGGGAGCAGCGCCCTGGTCCCCACGGCCATGCTGCTGGGCCAGGGTGAGCAGTGCCAGGAGCACCAGGAGGAGGCTGCGCTGGCCCAGCATCGCACTGCGATCAATGCTGTGCTTCTGTGCGATGGGCTGGGATTTAAACTCTGCTGGGGCGGGGGCTGGCCAAGCCAAACTGCTCTTTCTCATGGCAACAGGATTTCAGGACTGTGGGAGTGCCAGGCATGAACAATTCTGCTCGGGGGAGTCTCCTGGGGCAGCGCTGGGCCCGTGGCTCACGGCTGACACATCCTCCACAGAGCCCTTTCCAGGTCACCGGTGACCCGCAAGCAGCTGGGCCAGGGGCCGAGCAGCACTCCCAGAGCCCCACCACTGTGAGCAGGGTTGGCATACAGGGGTAGTGTCCTGTCCCCAGTCTTCAGTGCCCATCGGGTCCCTCCTGGCACACATGGAGCAGGGAGAGTTGCTGTGGAGCTGTGGTGCTGTGCTGGGGTGTACCAGCCTGCACCTGCATCATAGGGAGAGGAGGAACCAGCACTGGGCACTGGGCAGTGCTGGGCAGGGTGTGGGGCTTGTTCAACCCTGGGGGACAGCTCTGGTTTGTCCTCTGTCAAGGGTGGGTGCTCTGGGGGTGCCGGCCCCTCCCAGGCAGGAGGGACACTTGCTCTGCTCCCAGGGGCTGGGAGTGGGAACAGGGTAGGACCAGAAGGGACAGGGCCCTTGGAGCCCTATGAGGAGCTGGAGGGGCCAGGAAGAGCAGGATAGGAGCAGGAGCTTAGCCCTGAGCAGGTGGGGAGGGGCAGGCATGTGGCAGAGGTGCGTGGGCTGCACTGCCCAGAGCTCCTTTAAGCTTCTGCAGTAGGCAACTGCGTGGGGCAAGGAGGGGTTTGGGTGATGCTCATGTGAGGGCACACGCTGCATGCAGCCTGTTTGTCTCCTGGTCATTGCAGAGCGGGGAGCAGAGAGCACCTTGCTCTAAGGGGACACAGCTGCACCCTGATGGCCCCGCTCTGAGCATGGCTGTGCAGAGGTGGAGGAGCCAGTGTGCCAGGTCAGCCAGGGCCAAGGGCCCATGGGGCAGCCCCAGGCAAGGCACAGGCTGAGGACCCCTGGAGACACAATAGAGCCAGTTGATGCTGGTGTTTGTGTGGAGCCCTTCCAGGCATCTCCAGCGCGGGACGAAGAGGCAACCAAAGATGGTGGCCATGGACTGGCAGGGAAAGTCGGCCATGGCGCAGGATGGAGAGGCAGCCACGGCGTGGCAGGGAGAAGCTGCTTTATTGGACAGAGTGCAGGGGGCTGTGGCATGCCCCGAGCAGGGGACCCTGGGGAGGAAGCTGAGGCTGAAGACTCCAATCCAGGGGGATGATGAGGGGCCACGGCCAGGGTGAGCGGGATGGGTGTTGGGCAGCAGCTTCCCCGTGGCTGGGCTGGCAGGAGGTGGCTGCACCTGCAAAGGAGCAGAGACTGTGAGCAGGATGGGTGCACAGATGCAGTGGGATCCCTGGGGCTGGCATGCACCCAGCTGACCTCAGTGGATGGGTGTCACGCAGGAGACCTTGCCGCAGCCATTCCTGCAACACTTCTGGTTCCCGGAGCAGTTGGCATCAGACTTGCACTGGTTGGTGCAGACACCCAGCATGGGGATGCCCGGGCTGACGGGTGGGCAGGTGCCAGGCTTCTCTGAAAGGCAAATGGACATGGCTGAGACCTGCTGGTCCTGGCATGGGGGGCAGGGCCCACCCTTCAGCTCCTGGAGCTGTGGGCATGGCCCTGGCCCCTGCCTGCCATGGAGGAGGGACCACCATGGCTGCCGGCATTTCCTTCATTCCATGGCTTTGCCAGTTGGTGCTCCAGCCAGCTGGACTTGACGGGGATGTGTCAGGGAGACTGTGTGGCACGGTGGTCCCCAATGGTCCCTGTGCTCAGTGGTCTCGCTCAGGGATGCATGGCTGGCACAGGATACACAGGTGTGCCATGCAGACCCGATGGTGGCCTTGGCCCTGCTGTCCCCCACAGCTGCCAGGGATGGCCCTGGCCCTGGCCACTTGTTCATGGCATGAGGGTTCAGCCCAGGCCTTGCCTGGGATCTTGTGCCCCCAGACAACCTGTGCCTGGCAGTGTGGGGCCCCTGCTCCGCTGTCCCACTGCCTGCCATCAGCACTGGACTCCAGCTCTGCACCCTGCTGCCCTCCACTGCAGCCAGGCCAGTGCTACCCTGCAGGCAGCCGTGGAGGTACTGCAGCCTCCAGGTCACATCCACATGTCTGCAGCTGTGGATCCCAACTCCTGAGCCCATTTCCAGAGGCTGCTCTCCAGTAGGACTGGCATGGTAACTATGCTCAGCTGGACAGCTGCAGGGCTGTGGCCAGTGCAAGGATGGAGATGATGCTATTGGGAGACTTCCCAGTGCAGGGTTGGAGCCGGGACAGTGCCCACATCCTGGGCTGGCAGCCGCCCACGAGGCTGAGCAGTCAACAAACACTGTGACGGGGAGCGGCGCAGACCCCCACCCTCAGCCCCGGCCCCAGCATCATTCGGGATCATCCTCTCAGCCCCTGCATCACTGAGAGGAGGAAGGGAAGAGTGTGGCCCAGCAGGAGCATACCCCAAGCCTGCCAGGCTCCCACACAGCCCCTGGTCCCCCCCGCTGCAGCCGGACCCGCATTGGGCGCCCAGGCCCATAGACACCACTGCACCCTGGAGCACCGGTGCTGCCAGCTGGGATGGGCTGGGATGGGCTGGGATGGGCTGTCGTGCTCCGAGCAGCACAGCCAGGAGCAGGAGAGAGTGTTACCGTCGGGCTTCTGGCAGGCCTTGCCGCAGGCCGCCGGGCAGCACTTGAGGGTGCTCTCGCAGTCGCCATCGGACTGGCACCCCACCGTGCAGTTCACCGCGTCCGTCGCCGGGTCTGGGCACACGCCGGCTTTTGCTGCAAGGCAAAGGTGGGGGCGTGGGCATGCGCTGGGGCAGATGGCCCCAGGCAGGGCGAGGGCTGCGTGCCGTGGCAGGACATGCTGCCACCGGCCCCAGGGTCGGGTCCAGGGATGCTACTGAGCCCAACTGCAACAGGCATGGGCTGGTGCTCACCCCGGCCCCCACCGCAGCTGCCCTGGGACTGGGAGAGAGGGATGCTGGCTGCTCGCCGGGCGTGCTGTGACGAGCCGTGCCGGGCCCCTGCGCTCATACTCACTGGTGACATTCTGGGCGGATGCTGCCGGCAGCTCTGCCCAGAGAGCCAGGAGCCCCGCCAAGATGAGGACGCTGCGGGCCGTGGGCATGGTGCAGGAACCGGCTGCGCTGCGGCCGCCTGGCCGGCCTTTAAGCTCCTCTCCAGGTGGGGCTGGCGGGCTCGGCCTTCCGGGTGGTTCCCAAGGGCCGGGCAGGGCCAGGCTCCCCCTTCGCGCTTGCACAACCCGAGTATCAGGTATCTGCCGCTCCTGGCTGCCGACCAGGGAGGGGGAGCCTCGAGGAGACCGGGCAGCCATGCTGAGAACTCGCCCGGCAGGAATGGCAGCCAACCACCACTGGCTGCAGCCCCTGCACGCTGGACCCTAGACAGCTCCAGACTGATCCCACTGAAGTGCTGGGCTGCCATGGCCCCACACAGGGATCGGCCATGGGGATGCAGTGGTACTGCTCGCGGGCAGCGTAGCAGGCACGGGTGCACCAGGGACAGGGCACGACCTGTCCCTACTTGGACTCACCCTGTGCTGCCCTGGCCACAGTCATGAGCTTGAATGGAGCCCCTGGCCTGGGTCACCAATGCCTAGAGGCCGGGAGGAACTGGTGGTGCAGACAGGGCTGCAGGGCTGCAGCTCGGCTCTGCTGCTGCTCACCCAATTCCTGCTCCTGTTCCAGACGCTGTTCTCCTCCTGCTCTGGGTCCTCAACTGAAGGGCCCTCCAGGCTGCCCGTGCCTTGGGCAGACGCCCAACTCAGGGCTTCCCTGCACTTCCCCAGAACAGCCATGGGAGCTCTGCCTGGCTGCCATCTCATCCCATGGCCCCCATCATCCCTGCAGTCTCCCACAGCCCCGGGGATGCAGACAGACTGTCTGGCAGCACTGGATGGGCAAGTGGCTGGTGGGGAATGAACCATTGGCAAATGCACCCAGTGCTCCGGGACTTGGTGGTGCTGGGGCTGTACAACCCCAGAACCCCTCGGCGGGTCCAGGATACCCTGCCCAGAGCATGTCTGGTGGGCCAGGACACTTCACGGTGCCTGCCAGTGTTGAGCCAGGGCTGGTTTGGTCAGGCCCAGCTCGCCCACCCAACGTGGCTGCCCTGCTCACCTCAGAGTTTGCAAACTCTGCCGGTGCCCATCTCCTCCACAGCCTCCCGTAGGAAGGTGAGACCTGTCCTGTCCCTGGTGATGTGCCCTTGCTGCTGGCAGAGTCTGTAGAGGCAGCCCCAGCTCGGGGTTGGAGCATCCTGCAAACCTGCATGGGCCAGGGGTGCCTGGGGCTGGGACATGATCCCCGCCTGAGTCACGAGCTGGTGTCTGCTCTGGCGGGGTCGGTCTCCAGGTAATTTAACCCCACAGTCAACAATGTGGCACAGTGGCGTGGCAGTAAATCAGTAACTGTTTGCCTTTGCCTGTGGTCCCCTCCCTGCCTGGGTGTTTATGCAGGAACAGGAGCCGGCACAGATGGCTCAGCCTCCTGCCCCACCACTGTGCCGCGTGTCACCACAGCGGGAGCAACACGGGGGCACAGGCAGAGGCCTGGAGCAGCAAGGAGATCAGCAGGGCAGTCTTTGTCCCTGTGCCCTCCAGGATGGGGACCTGCCAGGCAGCTGCCAGGACCTGGCAATGCTCAGGCTGACTGGGATGCTCCCACTCTGGGTCACAGTGGTAACACTGTTTAGGGAGCTGGGCTGGGCTGACTTTGGGATGCCACGAATGAAGGCAACTGTGTTGCAGCCCAGTGGCCCCAGCACCAGGGCTGGGACATGGTGCCATGGTGGTGGGGTGGGATAGGGGTGGTAATGGCTGGGAGGTGGAAGTGCTGCCCGCTGGAATGGAAGCTCTGTCCTTGCATGATGATACGCAGAAACAGAGCCCACCTGGACCCAGCAGCAGCTTCCCTGGAGCAGCAGCACTGCTGCCATTCCCACACTGCACACCCAGGGTCACCGTCCCCACTGTCGGGGAGGGGCTGCCCTGGTGTCCCACCATGGCTGGGCTGTG